TGAAACTGTCAAAATTCCAAATAGTCTTTCACAACTTTTATCAATATTTCTGCACAGTTCTTTGCCATTTTTGAACATATGCAAAATTAAATATGGCGAGAACATACTCATGAACCATCAAATATACTATCATAATATTTTCTGATATTTGTTTATTAAATGATGTTGTGAATAAACGTCGAAATACATTGAGCTGTTTATGTTCTTAACTGTCAAGCTAATATTTATGACATATCAAGGTTTATGGAAATAATTTCATGTATTTCTGTTTATCCTTGTTTTATATATTTCTGTTTATCCTTGTAGATATCTCAGTTCATTCTTGTTCCAAACAGTTAAAGTTTCCAATGATTGATCAAGAATCTGATTTAGTAAATCCACTAATGGCTATAGTGATATTCTAAGCAATAAGCATTTAAATATTTTGAGCGCCTCAGCCCAGACATCGTTGAATTTGTACATAAGATCCATCGCTATAGCTGCTAGAAAAATGGTCGATTCCCAGTACCGTTTTAACAGGTACCTGATTCCTCCTATCTTCTACATTTACAAGAGTCAGATCAGGCCGAAAATGGAGTACTGCTGGCATGTATGCACAAGAGCTACACAGTCTTCTCTTTCCATTCTCGATAGAGTCCAAAAGTGTCTTCGCGTCCTTGTGGGTGAAGAATTATTTTCCAACTTACAATCCTTTTCTCACAGACGAGACGTCGCACGCTTCTGACTGCTCTATCGCTATTTCCATGGAAATTGTTCAGCTGAACTACACTCCTTAGTTCCACCTGTCCTAACCTTCACGGCTAAAACCCACCATGCCACACCCATTGTAGCGAGCCACCATTGTTACCTTCATATTCTTTGGTAGAATGTAAGTTCCATTGGAGCAGCTTTTTCCCACGAACCATGACTTGTGGAACCGACTCCCAAGACATTGCTTCCCCGATCATTACAATCTTAACCTGTTCAAGTCTACGGTTAACTGTTATCTTCCGCCCATATAAGCTGTGCCTCTGTAACCCACTACATCGAGTGGCTTTAGGGTCTTGTACAGAATGAAAACCATTTTGTACAAGACTCTAGATTTTATAGACTATGACAAGAAGTGAACTTTCATATATATATATATATATATATATATATATATATATATATATATATATATATAAGATTTTTTTCACTATAACATGTAGTGAACCCTTGAGTAATCAATTGTGAAATAAGAAAGATCCCGTTAGATAAGAAAGATGTATAACCACAAACACACACATACACACACACACACACACTGCATTAAGAAAGATTAAAGGCAGGTAGGATATACGTTTGGAATGTTGGATTTGGGATGTATAACGCGTATCTGTTGACAGATTTAATGCATACAAAGTAAACAGGATACGCACTTTGGATACATGTGCCTATATATATATATATATATATATATATAGATAGATAGATAGATAGATAGATAGATAGATAGATGAAAGTTTCATTACAAACGAATGACAATTTTATTTAATTTTTCTTGTGTTTTCATAATTTTCTCATTTTCTGTACATAGCTTATGTAGAAATTATCCGAATGTTTTGTATGCCCGAACGCTTTCAGCTATACGTTTAGCTATTATTAAGGATGATATTATTTTTACTTTTAACTGAATGTATGTATTCTTTTATGTATGTATCTAGAGATCTAGAAATGTTTTATTTTCTAAACACGGTCAGCAACTTCTGGCCGTTTTCATATTTGATTTTTTTTATTAATAATACTTCCTTTATTTTTTAGCCTTTTTACATGTGAGTGGAGCTATTATGTTTGTAATATCAACGAGTATGTTGCAGATGGATTTTTAATGAAACTTGTATAAAAGTGAGATTTACTACCCAAATGCACAATTTCATATATATATATATATATATGTATGTATGTATGTATGTATGTATGTTTGTATACATATATATATATATATATATATATGTATGTGTGTGTGTGTGTGTGTGTGTGTGTGTGTGTGTGTGTGTGTCCCTTTTAGATGTTCTGGTTTTTTATCTGTGCGCATGCGTGAATGTATCCGTCGATGATTTTGGGCGTGTGCGCTTGATTTGGGACTCACACTTGTCTGAAATCATTAGCCACTTAAACTAAAGTTCCCGCACAAGAGCTACATCGTTTACACTCTTTCTCGGCGAAACATTTTAAGTCATTCTCTTTTTACGGGTGTCGGAAAGCAAACCGGATCACGACTAAACATCAGCTCGGTTCTGTAGCAACAAGTTATCCGCAAGCAAAATGGTAAGAAAACAAACCAAATAATTTCTTCTTCACTTTGTCTCATCTTCAGAACTACTACTAAAGAGACATAAATGTGCTGCTGCTGATGATGGTGCTAACTCTAGCGCCAGACCCCAATCGGTTTCTTGTGTGTTTATAGTGATGTTGTTCTATTCTTCAAAATGTAATTACCACGATGCTGTATCCAGTTTCTTTTAACTCCCAAATATTGAACCCGGACAACTTTCGTTTTTAAATTGCTTTTTTTGTTGTTTTTTTTATTTATTTTCGTTTTTTTTAATTATATTTTATTTTCTATTCTCTTTCCATTTTTCGATGGAGCATTCATTAATAATAGAAAGGGAAATGGATAAACCTTTTTAAATACATTATAAACATAGCGAACTATCCAATATCTGAAAAGGCTTTTTTCTATCCGTTTCTTTTATTTCTCTTCCTTTGCTTATACTTTGCTGTTAAATCTCTCGACAGCGTCAGTATTTCTAGAAAATAAATATTAAAATTCAACAATGAAAGATTGATAACTGAATCAATAAAAATTCCTCCATCCACGCTGCCTGATTTGCTTTCCCATCTGATCAAACACACTTCCTAAACGATGTTTAATACCGTCTTTTTCTCAGAATACTTCTGCAAGAAAGTGACTTTATCGCATTTTTTACCGAAAATTTTTAGCGTGACATTCTTAGATGTACAAAAAATATTTTTTCTCCATTAACCAAGAAAGAATAATAGAAACATTGAAATAATCATGCAATGTTTTTATTCGAAACAAGACTGTCTTTTTGTTGTATTCATCCTATTTTTGCTATCGATAAGGGCGTTTTTTATTTACCCTTTTTCGGAGTTTGCGTACGCACGTTTGTGTGTGTGTGTGTGTGTGTGTGAGAGAGAGAGAGAGAGAGAGAGAGAGAGAGAGAGAGAGCGTGTTTCCGTGTGCATGTGTTTATGTTGGGGGGTGTGCTTCAATTTTTCTTTTCTTCCTATTTTTCTTTCCCCCCACATCTTAGTTCTTCTCTTATCATTTAATGAGATCGTCAACAAAACAGTATTATATGTAATGTTTAGTTCACTTTACAAGAGGATTATTCACATTCTGCACTCTCCTCACAGGGAAATCAAAGTTTGTGACGTCTAACTTTGAAGACAGGCTACATTCCAAACAAGCTTCTCGTGGTTTTTGTTAATGACACCTTATCCTCTGAGTAAAAGAAACTTCCTTTAAATTTCTCGCCTCGGACATTCCTTTCGCCCTTGCTATGTGTACGTAAAATAAATTCCAGTAGTTAGAAAATCTCAGCTTATCGACGTTAAATATATAAGTTCCAGTTGCTATATGAGTTTTTTTTTTTTCAGTTTATATTATTAATGATAAATGTGCGTGTCTAAAGTTCTAAAAATTCTGTATATACACACACATATATAGATAGATAGATAGATAGATAGATAGATAGATAGATAGATAGATAGATAGATAGATAGATAGATAGATAGATAGGAACAGACTGGGATAGATAGATAGATAGATAGATAGATAGATAGATAGATAGATAGATAGATAGATAGATAGATAGATTTCTGAAGACACACATATGTATATAAACTGTATCATTGGCCATTTCGTGCTTTATCCATAAATGAAATAAACCCTTATTGGACTCTAAATACCTGTTTGCTGCGTGCTAAGAGCATCTATCTGTTCAATTTGGATGAGTGCTGCTTGCTTCGGCGTAGATAGAAACAAAATGTAGCCATTAATTATGGAATTTCCTAAATGTTAGTTTGAAACTTTAAAATGAGTGGGTCCTATGTCCGATTTGACGGATTAAGAAAAATGGTAATAACTTCAGAACTTGTAGAACGTCGGAAATTGCAAAATGATCAACAGGTGCCATCAAACTATAAAGAAATTCGTTAAAGAACCTGGATGACACCAATGTCAGTCAAATAAGAGTAAGTTGAGGACTTTATTTGTTTTGCTTAAAACAGACATATAATGAAATCGATTTAAATGGCCAACAGAATATATGCAACCGATTTTTCAAAACTTCTTTTCACCGACCAATTCCTTGCTACTATGAATGAGTCAGGGACGTGGAGTAAAAGGTGGATGGCTCCTGGTGCAAAAAGCCTTCACAGGTTGAGGAGTCAACAAAGTGATAATAGTTTGACGTTGTGTGGTGGAATTATAGATAGTGAATTGGTGAGCCAATGGCGAGTTTCAGATAGTCTTAAAATAACAGCTCAGATGTATACGGATTTTGGAACTACATAAATATAGTGGTCCACTCGTAAAAATAGGGAAAACATTTATGGGGAAATATTTCTGACAGATTGCTTTTCTTTAGATCTTCCTTGTCAGAATCGAAAATGATTTTTAATCGATTTAGGCGGGGGTTTATAATAGTGATATAGTGTCAAATCAATTCCTGACTTTTACAGTTATTGGATTTAAGTGTTTTGCATACGAAAAGAAAACTTTTGGGGGTGGAGACTACAAAAATATTGCTTTTAAATAAAGAATGGATATATACATAAATATAAATTTAAATTAAGGAACAAAAATTCACATAATATGTATTTGTTTATTCTTCGTTTTAGATAAATAATTATTAACCTTAAATGTTTGCGCATGCGCTTCCTAAAAAAAGATCCATACAGTTTGAACAAAGTCAGTACGGTCAAACCCTCGGTCATGATGGCTTGAGTTTTTTAGTCTTTTTAATCCAGTTGATGATTTTGTTGCACACTACGCAAGTAGAAATTTCTGACGGTTGTTTTTTTCATGTTTGCAAATATTTTGAATTAATCACTTATATGTTTCTAATAATATTGACTCATTAAATTAACTTACGACTATGAAAACTTTAACATATTCTGTGATAGTTACATTCCATTTTAATAAGTACTTCCGGTTATTTTCGAAAGGAAGGCGATGTGCGTTCCATAATTCATGTATTACAAATCATGGACGTTTGTATAATTTTATTTTAATAATCTTTGTATCATTTGTAAGAAAGCTGATTGGTGACAATTTTATATAACAATTATTTAAATCCATTTTTTAAAAGCAAATTTTTTTTTTTGTTTTTTGTTTTTTTTGCTGAAGAATTGCTTAACATGATAATGGTCACTTTAAGATTAAGACTCTATCATTTTTTCTTCAAGTATTGCTTGACTGTTCCCAGCGTACAGAATGAAAAATGGTATTACATTTTCTTTTTATTTCTCTTCTGTGAATTTAATATCCCTAATAAAAATAAAAATAATTATTTGTTGACAAGATAATAAAAGAAGCAGTGATTTAAACTACTTAATTGTTTCAAATGAGATTAGCGTCGCAATATTTGAAAAAAAAATAAAACAAAAAGAAATATATGACTAATTCAAATAATTAAAAACTAAGGAGAGAAACCGGTAGAGAAATGGATAGCGACGCGGATTGAGGAATCGGAGAGCCGAGTTCGAATTTCATTACATTCCCTTACGTGTTAATACCTCTTCTTCTCCACCCACCAGCTATGGGCAAATAGGATAGACCTGGCTCTATAGCCTTGGATGGCTTTATATATATAACTGGTCTAACACAGAAAGAAATGGAAAAAATCTGCCTCGTCAGTCATGTATTGAAAGATACATGATCGCTCATGCGTGTATCATGCATGACACATAACTGAAAATCATTAAGATTATGGATTAAATTAGAAGGTGAACTGGGCTTTCTAGTCTTGAATAGCAACTAGTTTAAGCGAATAAAAATCTAAAACATGGAGAGAAAACCATTACCTTTCCTAAGAATACATGGCAATTCAAAAATAATAAAGAAAAGGGAGTTGTGGACAGCCATGATCACCTACTTCCTGGGCGGAAATAGCCCAGAAAAAAAAACTGATTTAAGGTTTTCAAGTTATTGTAACTCTTTATGGAATTAGTAGAATAGTGTCATAATATGTCATCTGCCTGCCTAAGTTCGCACTGGAGAATCACGTACATGTGAAATTTCCACGGGTTCAGCCAGTTAAATGGGAAGCGGAACAGTATTTAGTTACATATTCGGCTCGACTACGGGAAACGAAACTCAACCCATAAAATATATTTCCTCCTGAACAGACCCCTCCAGATTCTTCAAGTATATACTTTCAGAAGTTAAAAATGATTAACATGTTTAAAATCAAATATCTTTTCTTTTTCTTTTTTTAATCTTTCCTTTGCTCTGTTACCATTTAAGCGGTAAACTAATTTCCGGAGGTTCATTTTCACGCTGAATAAACCTCAATGAACCGAATCTGTCGAATACACTGATTTGACGCATGCGCTTTTGATATTTCCATGACTAGCATAAGGTAATGGAAAAGCACTCGTGGTTACAGTTGTTGCTTTGTTTTTATTTCGTATTAAACATGTCAATGTTCTGAAATTTGAGGAAGTTGAGGAAGCCGCTCAAGTTATTTTTACGCCGTCGGGACGGCCATTCAAGCAAATCTATTTTAATCATAAAATGTTTAATTACATATTAATATATAAAAATAGCACAACAGTTTTCTAAATATATATGGGCAATAATAATATTTCGTTAGTAAAGTATTTTTTAGAAGGCCACTAGTTATAAAACTGGTTAAAATTACTGCAGATTATACTATGAGGAGCTACATTTGAAGATCAGTATCTATTTTAATAAAAAAGATAATAATAATAAATAGATAATTGCTAAGTGCAAATATGCACGAAAATTTTTCCTAGCGCGTTTTCATTTTGGTTAAAAAGCAAAATCTATCCATAAATAATATATTAACAAATAAAAAATAAGACTACGCAATTTACTAATGCGACTATAATAATAATAATAATAATAATAATAATAATATACCCGAAATCTTTCTGACTCGCGTGACGCCTTATCGATGACATCATTGAGAATACACAAGTGGCAGTGTTGCTTGGAAAAGTTCATGTGCTGAGGAAACTATTATGTCTAAGCTACCGGTTGAAACTGAAATATGACCTTCACCACGCCGAAACAGTCGGAGAGGATATCAAATCAAATAATATATATATATATATATATATATATATATATATATATATATATATATTATTATTTATATAATTTTATTATATAGACAAAACCATTTTACTCACTACAAAAATTCGTTTCAGTGCATTTCAACTGCACTTCGACGGGTAAGAACCGAAAATGGTTATTCATATTTATCTCTGAAGGCACTGAAACGAAGTTGCATCTTTGTAGTGAGTAAAATGGTTTTGTCTATGTGATAAAATTATAGTAAATAAATAAATATCGCTCTACTATCGGTATCGAGCCCTCTTTTGGATTAATGCTGTGATTTATAGATTACTTTCTTCTCATCGCATCGGATATATATATATATATATATATATATATAGTTGTGGACAGAATTATTTACCCATCCTTCCACAATTCCAAATAAATTTGTAATTACTCAAATTTTCATAGAAACTTCATGTGCATTTTTCACAAATGTTGAAAGAATGGATTTGAAAGAATGTGCAGTGATGACTAAAACAAAATATTTATTTTAATGTCAAACAATAATACAAAAAAATCTATAATCAATTGTGTAACCTTTATTCTTGATTATTGTCTTTAATCATTTTTTATAGTTCCTTACAAGATCTCTACACACACTGGTATGTATTTTGATTGATTCTTCTTTGTCAATAGCTTGTAGTTCTTCGAAATTTGAAGGACGTCTCTTAATTTTTTCTTCAAATATGGCCATAAATTTTCAATGAATTTTGTGCAGGGTACGCCAATATCTTAATTTTGCTGTCATCTTAGTATTTTGTGATAATTCGTGTTGTGTGTTTCGGGTCATTGAACGTCCAGTGACACCCCCAAAACATTTTTGTGCACTTTGTTTCATATTATTTTTTAAAAATTGTCCAAAATATTGGTCTTTACCTATGATAAACTGTGCTTTCACTAGTTCTCTGAAGCAGAAAAAAAAAACCCAGAGCAGAATGCTCCCGCCACTATGCTTAATAGCAGGGAGGGAATTTTTGATTTCGCTCTCCTCCATACATAACGGTAGCAAATAATTCTAGTTTGGTTTCATCTGACCATAAAACAAGATGGCTTCTAGCATCAGCTAATTTGCATTTTAGGTGTTTCGCCTTTAGCAAAATAGTTTTCCTTGGGTGACAAGCTCGAAATCATGCTCGATAAAAGCATCTAGTGATTTTCTTCGTCGATACATTCAACCCTCGTTGTCTTTATGTCATTGACAATGTCTTTTGTCGTTAAGTGACGATTCTTCGAAACACCTCTAACAATTTTCCTTTCCATTCACTCAGAAATTAACCGTTTTCTGCCAGTCCTTAATTTATTCTCATGACAATAAGTATCGTTTTACTTCTTGATATTGCTACGAATTGTCGATCTAGGAACATTTAAACGCTTGGAAAGTATTGTGTATGTATCACCTTGTTTGTACGCATCAGTTATCTTCATTCGGAGCTTCTTGTCAAGTTCCACCATATTCGCCATGGTTGCAGAACGAATGATTTGTCGAGGTACGTGGCACTTATATATTGCCTTCTTCGTTACCTT